GTAGTAATGATAAAAGTAGTCGTCGCCGTCGTAATCGTAGTAGACGGAACGGTATTACGAACAACAACAGTAGTACCGGTGGTAATCAAAATAGCAGTGGTAGTAGTAGTAGCAATAATAACACGTCGTAGTAGCCGTATTAACCGTTTTCACACTTGTAATAACAATAGTAGTGGTAGTGCTAGTAGTACCTGTCGTGATCGCCATCGTAGCAGTAGTAAAGGTAGTAGTAGGAATAATGATAATAGTCACAGTAGTAATCGTAGTAATAATAGTAGTAGTAGTAGTCGTAGTCGTAGTCGTAGTAGTAGTAGTAGTAGTAGTAGTAGTAGTAGTAGTAGTAGTAGTAGTAGTAGTGATAGCAGGAGGGCTAGCAGCAGCAGCCGCAGTTGTAGTAGTAAGAATAATAGCAGTAGCAGTCGTAGTAATAATGGTACTAACAGGAGTAGAAGTGAAAGTAGTAAGAGTAGGAGTCGTAGTGGTATTAGTAGTCGTAGAGAAGTAGTAGTAGTAGTAGTAGTAGTAGTAGTAGTAGTAGTAGTAGTAGTAGTACTCGTAGTAGTAGTAGTAGTAGTAGTAGTAGTAGTAGTAGTAGTAGTAGTAGTAGTAGTAGTAGTAGTAGTAGTAGTAGTAGTAGTAGTAGTAATAGTAATTGTAGTAGTGGTCGTAGTAGTAATAATCTTGCGAATCGCAAGATCAGCAAGGAAACACGGACACATATGCGTTCTACGAACACTATCGGGAGCAACCAAAACATTACACAAGTAACTAATAACTAATTGCAGTAGCAAAACAACCGCCATCGTACTAGGATGGCTAATGGTAACCATGGCGGCAACCGTAATCGTACAAAGGCACCAATGCTACCCGCAACTGCAATACCAGACAAGTCGAAATAGCACTTGTAGTGCTAATATAAAACATAGTGGTGGCTATTGGCAGCTCCGATACGAGTCAATGGTGGATGTATATATTGTGGCTGAGATAACGGTCCTTCCGCCGTCGTAGTCGTAGTGATGGTGGCCAATCTGATATTGTGGTATCGGCCGTACAAAAATTTTGAACCGTTCGGTGTGATGGCAGCGATGACGGTAACAGCAGTAGTGGAGGTACTGGGACAGGCAATGGTAGTAGGAAAAGTTGCATGCCGATGACAGTGGAAAAGGAACAAGGAGTCGTAGCAAGAGTTGTGATGCTTGCAGTTTTGCCAAGACACCGAGGACACGCATGGCTGTTGGGCCGCTCTGGTCTCGGAGCTGATTGTCCCGAGGGTCAACGCACGTTTCAGCACAAAGAGGCGCCGATCCAATGAAAAAGGGCGAAACACTGTCAAAATGCACAACCGATCATCGATCCGCGCTTGGTCATTGACGGGCGCCCAATGAGGACCCCCTGAAGCCGGAAATTGGCAAGAACCTTCCGTCGTGTTTTTTTGCCGCGGCTCGAGGATGTCAGGGTTCTCCTCCTCCTCCTCCTCCTCCTCACCATCAGGTAGGAGCCTTTCGCTGAGAGGGTAAATATCACTTGAGACAAACAGTTGCGGCCCACAGCGAACATGCACCACTGGAACTCCTAAACTGCGTTGCCCACCCAGTCGCATGGCCGTGTTCTACCTCCTCCTCCTCCTCCTCCTCCTCCCTCCTCCCTCCTCCCCCCTCCCTCCTCCTCCTCCTCCTCCTCCTCTTCCTCCTCCTCCTCCTCCTCCTCCTCCTTCCTCCTCCCTCCTCCCTCCTTCTCCTCTTCCCTCCTCCTGCTATTGCTCCTCCTACTCCTCCTGCTCCTCCTCCCTCCCCCTCCTCTTCCTCCTTCTCCTCCTCCTCCCTCCTTTCTTCTCCTCCTCCTCCTTCCCTCCTCCTCCCTCCTCCTCCCCTCCTCCCCTCCCTCCTCCCTCCTCCTTCCCTCCTCCCCCTCCTCCTCCTCCTCCTCCTTCCTCCTCCCCTCCTCCTCCTCCTCCTCCTCCCTCCTCCCTCCCTTCTCCTCCCTCTCCTCCTCCTGCTATTGCTCCTCCTCCTACTCCTCCTGCTCCTCCTCCTCCTCCTCCTCCTCTTCCTCCTTCTCCTCCTCCTCCTCCTTTCTTCTCCTCCTCCTCCTTCCCCCTCCTCCTCCTCCTCCTCCTCCTTCTCCTTCTCCTTCTCCTCCTCCTCCTCCTGAAACTGTTCCTCTTCCTCTGCCTTCTCGTCCTCCTACTCTTGTTCCTCCCCTTCTCCCCCCAGCAGCATCTTGCGCATCGTGCCATCGCACGCGCGCCCGGCCGGAGGGCGGCGGCCTGTCTGCCTGTGTGCGGACCGCCCGGCGGAGAGCCTAGAGCCTAGAGCCTGTCGGAGGGGCGCGCGCGGCCGATCGCGTGGCGACGGCGCTGGGAGGCAACGCCTGGAGGTCGCCGCCAGAACGAGCAGGGGCTGTCTGGGAAGCCCGACTGCGGGGCCACGGATCGGGCGTTGCTAGGAGTGTCCCCGATTCAATGCGGGATGACGATTAGTAACACAAAATAAGAGAGAACGACTAAACACATAGTTTTCTGTTATTTCTGCCTAGTTCTCTGACTGGAGGAGAACGATTAAGAAAATAGGTTTCCAACCCGCGGCCGGTTTTTTCTAATCGTCATCCCGGGCGCCGCCGCGTGAACACGACCCCCGGTCATTTATTAATCGTCATCCTCCATTAAGGTGTCCACAGCTTCTCGCTCCACTTTGGAGCCCCTGGGGCCCTCTGGGCCTCGTGAGGGGTGCTCTGGAGGCCGTGGGCGCGGGCCTCCCTGGAAATCCTGGGGGCACCTTGGGCCAGGGGCACTTGTAGCAACGCCGGAACTGAGCCGGAGGAGGCCGGATGAAGCCCGGGAGCAAGCTGGACCCCTGACCTTCCAGAGAGCTATTTTTTAGCACGGGAGGCCTACAAACCTAAAAAACAAAACGAAACAGCCTAAAACCAAGACATATCCCTCTTTCTTTTTTTTCTGCGCGGCCAGACTTTTCGGGCGAGAAGCTCGGGGCCTTGGGGAGGATAACCGCCCGCGACTGGGATGGACGGGCGCCGATTTCGAGTCCGATCTCCCAGCCGTGGCAGCCTGAAACGCCGGGTGCCGACGCCGCCTCGCGCGGCACGGGCACCGCGGCAGCCCTCCTCTCAGCCAGCAGCGGGCCGCGGGGGTAACTGGCGGAGGGGCTCTCCAGGAGGCCTCCTGGCATCTGTGCTCGATGATCTACTGACCAAGGTCAATGCAAACCAGGGCCAGTCGGACCTTGCAAGACCCTGAAGGATCCTGCGCCCAAGTCCGGGTGCTGGCTATGCAGGATCCTGAACTATCCGGCGCCCTGGCTGACCCCTGTTTGCCTTGTCCCTCGGCGGTTTTCTGGCCTCGGGATGCTGGGACGAAGCCAGGACGAGGACAGCTTCGGGTGAGGACAGATCGAGAACCTCTGAGATGCCGCGGCTATGAAAGATTTATCGGGCGCCGCGGCTTTCTCAGAGCGTCCTGGAACGTTCCCGAACGCTATGGAACGGTCTATCCTCGTCCTGTAGCCCATCCGAGATGCGTTCCGGCAGCTGCGCCTCGCTGAGAGCGTTCCGGGGTGCCCGGATCGCCCCGAGCAGCCAACGAAGAGCCTAGCATGACCCAAAGCCACCAGGCGTCCGAGAGGGGGCAGGGCGTCTCAAAGGCGGCGAGGGCTCTCAGGTGCCCTCCAGCCTTCCGAGAAGGCCTCCGTGGCCTGGGAGAAGGCGGAGGCCTTCTGACTGGCGGCGGGAGGAGATCTGAACGGAAGGCGGGAGGCCTCCCGAGGCTTCGGAGCAGGCCCGCCCCCCCCTGCCTTGCCCCCTGCGCGAGCCGCCAATACGTGGGGCCCGAGCAAATGGGGTCGGAGGGAGGCCCCACCGCCGATGCCCCGCCGCTGCACCGGCGACGCATCGGCGACGGCGGGATGGAGCACATCGGGCTGACCCTGAGACCTGGGCGCGGCTCGGTCCAGCCCGAGCAGCTGCGCAGAACGAGGGGGTCCGGGGTTCTGGGCCCGCTGGTCGGGCCGAGAAGGGCGCGGAGCGGTGGGGGGGAGGAGGGGGGAGGAGGAGGAGGAGGAGGAGGAGGAGGAGGGAGGAGGAGGAGGAGAGGAGGAGAGGAGGAGGAGGGAGGAGGAGGAGGAGAGGAGGGAGGAGGAGAGGAGAGGGGGAGGAGGAGGAGGATGAGGGGCAGGCGAGGCCGAGAAGGGCGCGGAGCCGTGGGGGGGAGGAGGAGGAGGTGCCTCCACGCTGCGCCGGCCAGCCCGCGGCCAGGAGTCTCACTCGGAGTCGGAGGAGTCGGAGTCGGCCAGCTGCAGGGGCGGCGGCGCCCGCGCCGCCTCCGCCCTCGGCGCCCGGTTAAGCCGAGGCGCCGGCGGCGCCTCGGGGCCCCGTGGGGAGGCAGCTTGTCTTAAGTCGGGCGTGTCCCCCTACAGGGGAATTTTCGACGACAAATCTTAAATACGCAAAAAATCATCCAAACTTGTAAAAAATATGCTAGAAATAGTCCCAGACTATGTTTGGACTATTTTTGGACATTCCCCCTGTAGAGGGACGAACCCGAATTAAAGCTTGTCTTTACAGTCGACCTGTATCAGAAGGATGCGCGGTAAGGATGCAAAGGTCTTGGATGGGGTCGGGCGTGTCCCCCTACAGGCGGAGTTGGGAGAGGAACAATGCACACTCAACACACATTCAAAAGTAGTCAAACAAAGAATCACACAATAGTCCGCAGACTAGTTTTTCAATATGTTTGAACCTTCTTGCTTTCGAGGGACAGGCCCGACGTAAGCCTTGGGCGCCCATGAAGGGGAGAGAGGGGGGGGAGCTGGCGAGGCCCGGAAGGAGCTTTGGGCTTCACGCAGGCCGAGACGCACTGGCACGCCGCTCCCCGCCCAGCATGGCTTCAGAAGGCGGCGGAGGGGGGTGCTGGGATGGCCGTGGAGGGTTTCTAAGTGGACAGGGGGACCAATGGATAGTTAATGTTAAGTCGGGCCTGTCCCCCTACAGGGGGATTTTCGATGAAAAATAAAAAAATACCCTAAAAATAATCAAACAAATACTATGGGGACTATTTGTTGCTTTGCTTTAAAACCTTTTTGGAATATGTTTGGGGTGTTTTCATTTTTCGTCGAAAATCCCTATGTAGGGTGACAAGCCCGACTTAAAGTTAATGCCTTGACTCACGGCTTCAGGTTTATCGGGTGCGCCAACTCCTGGGTTCATCAGAGGCACTGCTTGGGCGCGCTTCTGATCTCCATCCAAAAGCGCACCCAAGCAGTGCTTTTGATGAAACCAAAAACTGGTCCACCCGAGAAACCTGAAGCCGTGAGTCAAGGCATTAGGTATCCATTGGTCGTTCTCTCTGGGTGGGCTCTGCAAAGGCCTGGCCTGCACCCAAACATCCAATATCTTGATTCTGTCCTTGCGGGGTCCCTAGAGAATTCTGACCCGCTCCCAGCACTGGCCGGCTTTTCTTTCCCGCGAGTCGTTTCTCGGGCGGCCCTGGGGCCCTGCTATGTCCCCCAGAGGCAGAGGACTGCCGAAAACCTTGCGTCGTCCGACGGCCGTGCGAGGCGCAGCTGCAGGAAAGCACCCCGAGTCCGGAAGGCCCAGAACTGGCAGTGCACGCCCAGAAGCCGTGGACCTCGGGCGTCGAACATTCACGTCGCCTCGTCGCTGCCCGGGTGCAGCGGCCGAAGCCGTGCCCGAAGTGAGCTCGAAGCTCACGCCCGCAGGTTTCTGCGCGCGCCCCGAGCGTGACCAAACAAGCGCTCGGCTCGAAACCTCGCGCTCGCACCTCTGGGCGCACCACGGCTCGGGGTCATGGCTTCGGGCACGTGCTCGCTCACATCTCTTCTACTCGGCCGCCTGCACGTCGTTGATTTCTAATCGTGCTCATTTCTGATTGTGCTCGTTTCAAATTGTTCCTGGCCCCTTCGTGGCCAGGAAGAGGCCAAGGATAGAATAACAATTAGAAATGAAAGGAACTTGGCCCCCCCGAAAAACCAAAGAACTTTCGAAGACTTAGAAACGAACCGTGTGTACCTTTTTGGCCGATCAGGGGCTAGGCGCTAGGAAACCTTCGATTCTGGGGCGTCTGAGGTTTTCCCTAGAGGCCGAGACTTTGTCAAAGACCTCCCGTTTCGGGTCCGATGGGGGTCGAACGAATGATCCGAGAGGGTCTGGGCTCTGAGCAGATGGGGTCCGAGCAGATGGGGTCGACGGATCGCGCAGCATCGCCGATGCTTCGCCGATGTATCGGCGATGCATGGGCGATGCATCGGCGACGTCGGCGCTGCAGCGGCGGTGTCGGCGTGGAGAAAATCGGGCTCCACATCGAGCCGCATCGCCGATGCATCGGGATCCTCCGACACCATCTAGTCGGACCCCATCTGGGAGGCATATAAAACCACACAATACCGATACCGCTGCTCCCAAACATCTCCCGGGTTGCGTTCTGATGAACATTTTGGGGCGAATCCAGCCGTGACGACGACGGCCTCCCAGGTGGCACAAACAAACGAAAACGATGCAAGATTAGCGGTATCGGCACCTTTCCCCACATTCGACATGGGACTCTTGGTTATTGTGGACACCCCGCGCAGGAACAGGAACACCCCCTCCCTTCTCACTCCCACACACACATTCCCGTCATCATCATCATCATCATCATCATCATCATCATCATCATCATCATCATCATCATCATCATCATCATCATCATCATCATCAACAGCATCCTCATCATCAACATCAACACCGCATCATCATCACTTACACACTCGCACACACCTGCATGACATGTTCCAGCTCACTCACTCACAACTGCCACTCATCACTCATCATCACTCATCACCATCGCTCATCCTCATCATGGCCAACACCGGCATCATTATCATCATTCGTATCATCGTCGTCATCATCATCACCACCATCACCAGGATCATCATCACCATCACCATCACCATCATCATCATCATGATCATCAGCATCACCATCATCATTATCACAACACCATCGTCAACTGAGCCTCGTCGATTGGTGAGTTACGAGCAAGTCTCAAGCGGGACCCCCCTCCCTATGGGGCCCGCCGCTTATGTGTGTTATACGAGCGGGTCATCGGAATCCTGTAAGTAACGTCATTGTTGGGCCCTTGAGGCCTGAAGATGGAGGAAATAACAGGAGTGGTCACTTTTGGTCCCCTGAGGCCTGAATATGGAAGAAGTATCAGGCGGGAACCTCGTCTGTGAGCGAATTGCGAAGACGTCTCAAGCGGGAACCCCTCCATATGGGGCACGCCGCCCATGTTTCCAATCCGACCAGGCCATCGGGATCCTGTAACAGTCCTCGTGCTTGGGCCCCTGAGGCCTGAATATGGAGGAAGTATCATGCGGGAGCCTCGTCGATGAGAGACTGGCGAGGAAGTCTCAGGCGGGAGCCCTCTTCCTATAAGGCCCGCCGCCAACATTTCTAATCCGAACGAATCATCAGGATCCCGCAACCGTCGTCACTTCTGGGCCCCTGAAGCCTGGATTTGGAGGAAAGAAATATCAGGCGGGTGGCGCTGCATATCGCGCTGGACCTTCGCGCGTGCCACGGACACAATGACACGCACGACGTGCAGGAGTCCACGTACAAACGGCCGCACCACCACTTCGGGCGCGTCCCCATCGTCCTGCAGCTGAAGCCCACGGGCAACATCGGCCTCCGGACGGACGTGAGCGAGTTCGTGGACGACGGGTCCTGCAACTACGAGGAGCCGCCGACGGTCGAAATTCAGCACGCCATGGACGTCTTCCATCAGATCCCCTGCGTCTTCGAGATGAAAGGCACGAAGCGCTTCAATCCCGGAAACCCTCTGATCACGTTCTTAGGCTGCACGCGCAAAGCCAGGCCCTTCCCGCCAGAGGTCTGGTCCGTCTGGGAAACGACGTTGGCCTCGGACAACCACGGCGTCCTGGACCCTCGGCACCAGCGCGAGAACTTTCGGTTCGGCTACGGCATGGGAATCTACTGGGAGACGCTGGAGAAGTGGCTCGAACACGTCGCGATGCGCGGCGTCTGGGCGTGCCCCTCGTTTTCTTGGAGGCCGTGGGCGAGTGCAACACGATTCAGGGCGATCCCGGCGCGAGCCAGCGCCTCCTGAACGTCCCGAACATGCACAAGACGGAAGACATCCACGGCGTCTTACCCGCCCACGTCGCCATGGAGGTGCGATTCACGGCTGCGCAAGAATATATGAAGAAGAAGTTAGGGCTCGCACAGGAGCAACGGGCCACCATCGCATCCTTCGACTTTCACCCCGAGGGCGAGCAGCGGCACGAGGAACGCTCGCCAGGCCAGCTTATCCGCCCCCGCTACCTACCGCAGGGCATCTGGCCGCAGACGCACGGTTTCAAGGAGTCCCCGATCTACCAGGCAGTCGCCGAATGCTGCTACAGGACGCCGGCGGCGCCGACGACGACGGCGAGGCCGAGGCGCGGGCGAGGAGCTCGCTCATGTTCAGGCCCAGCGAGCAGGAGTTCACGTGGCAGTGCTTGGGGCCGCACGCCGCGCGCCGCTCGAGGATCACCATGACGCACGCGTCGTACCTCACCCCCACGCTGTCGCAGGGCCAGACGCTGCACAACGGCGTCACCATCGACTGTCGCACGGACATGTCGGACGAGCAGGGGTGGCTGCACCTCTACGCCATGTTCTCCCGCACCACGCGCATCCGGCCCATGCTGATCCTCAGGCCGCCGCCGCGACAAATCCTGGAGCGAGGGCCGCCGGCATCCTTGCGAAAGGCGCTCCTGGAGTCCGACGTCAAAGCGGAGAGCTCCATGGCATAGGCGGAGCAGCTCGCGGCAAAGCTGGGTTTCGTGCTGCCCCCCGCCTGAGCGCGGCGGCGCCCCGCTCGGAGCCCGCGGGGTTGTCCCAACGGTTTGGTTTCGCGCGCCAGCGGCTCGCGGGGTTGTCCCGACAGCCTGGCCCGCGAGCCTGTCCCCGACGGTTTCGCGATTCCGCCGTCGGAGAACGCGCCCCTGCCAGGCGTGGCGGCGAGGTCGCCGAGGAATCTCTACGCGCGCGCCCCTTCCGGCAAG